AGGCATTATAAATTTGTGTCATGGAAGAAACGATTGGTTCTTTCCATGACACAAGTTTTGATGGCTATAACAAAAAAGTTATAATTCCACATGCAATATCTTTAACTGAAATTAAATAAGTCTTTATATGTAACATGTTAGGTATTAATGCCCCCTTCTAAACATTTTTATTTTTTTTTGAATTTCCAATTTAGTTTATAAAGGTCATTCCTTTTGAAAAAGAAAGACTTTTTAATCCTTCCCATATGTATATATATATATATATATATATATATATATATATATATATATATATATATATATATATATATATATATATATATATAAATATATATATATATATATATATATATATATATATATATATATATATATATATATATATATATATATATATATATATATATATAAACAAAGAGAGAGGGATACATATATATACAACAACTATATTTAGCTATACTCTTATAATTTAGTTCATAAAAAGACTCGATCTATGACTGCGTTTATGCTTATAGAAGCAATACAAAGAAGTTTGCTGACAAAAGATACCACATACAGCGAAATTTAAAAGGCAGTTGTGGCGTTTTTTCTGGCATTTATTTTTTATATATTTTTAATGCAAATTTATTAACTTGTAAATTATTAACAAACAATATATTATATGAATTCAATAATTGTTTTTTTTGTTTAACTTATGTCTATTTTAACAAAAATTAAAAATAAAAACATAACTGACAAACATAATGGATATAATAATTATCCTTATATAATTATATCAAATTTATAAATATATATAAATATAAATATATATATATATGTATGTATATATATATATATATATATATATATATATATATATATATATATATATATATATATATATACATATATATATATATACATATATATATACACACACATATATATATATATATATATATATATATATATATATATATATATATATATATATATATATATATATATATATATATATATATATATATATATATATAATATATATATATATATCAATATATATATACATATATATCAATATATATATATATATATATATATATATATATATATATATATATATATATATATATATATATATATATATATATATATATATATATATATGTATATATATATATATATATATATATATATATTTATATATATATATATATATATATATATATATATATATATATATATAATAAGTAAATATAGTAAAAATTGATGTAAAAAATAGTTAAATTGGACTATTTTTTATAGTGGGTGTTTAGTGCAACGTTCGCCGATTGCAAGCGTTGGTCCTAAATTGAATCAATTTTGACTCGCCGCTAGCAAAACGTTGCTGCGCAAGAACTGGTTTGCGTATACTGGCCCTTTGAAAAACCAATGAGCAACCCGGTGCTGGCACAGCGCTGGCGTGCCAGGCCTGGTACAGCTCGGCAGCCAAGCCTGGTTCGTTTTTGGGCCAAATAGTGTCTGCTTACTAGGGTATTGGTTATGCATTTATAATGTTGAAATGGTTTGAATCCGTGGCTGTTGACTATTCACAACATTCACATTATACAACGCACATAATTTGATTTATTGGATATAAAAGTTTTAATAATCGCCTATTCATTTGTTTTCCTTTTTTATTTAATAACTTTTGAGTACGAAATTATTGGTTCTTGGTAAACCATATGCCACTTTAGGATATTATCAAGCGTTAAGATGAAGTAAATTGTTTGAATAATAAATATTGTAGCAAAAAACACCTAAGAAAGTGATCACTGGTGGTAAGGAGAGCTATTCATTGAATTGACATTTAAGAATTTATTTTGTAAAAATATTCCGTATGTTGCATTTAAACGCTCTGTAAAAAGGAAAACTGTGCGAAAGCCTAAACTCAAACAAAAAGCTATAATTAAATTTCTTTTCATTAATAATGGTTAACGCTTCCGGCATTAGGAAATAACTTTTTTTTTTTTTTTTTTGGATTGAGTTTTTTTGACGTTTAGTTGTATTTCTAAAAACATTTTGTTTGACATTCGTTATCTAATAACATATTGATTTATTTATAAATAAAAAGAAAAGTTCGTACTTTGTGACATATTGGTTAATACAGAGATACATTTGAGAGTTAATGTTGTCGCAGTATATACCTCGACCGTAATATCCTAAAAAAAGAATGCATATGTTGTAAAAAGACTTTTACAGCACAAATTTATTTAGGCTTTAAATGTTACCTGATGGTTAGTGTTTTAATTAAAAAGCTACCTGTTGCATGATTTTGATCAATTGGCAAAACTAGCTTTTTACAGTTTTCTTTAAAAGGTTCATTTATAGTTCGAAATAATTTCCATGATGATGATGCATTGTTTTCAAAAGAGAGTTTTATGGGAATTTCAATTGTGTATGAGCCATCAGATAAACACCTAGTATTGCTTATTTTAACCGTAATTCTTTGATTGACTTCATTATTTGGCAGAATTAGAATCTAAAACATAATTAAATAAGCTTTAAAAATGAAGTAAAACCTTTAGAAAATAGTAAAAATGTAGGAATAAAAACTTAAAACATGTTTTCTCCCCCAAAATATTATTTTATGATCATAAAATTTATTTTTTATGATTTCTCCTATACTTTTGTTTCAACCTTAAAATATATACTTTAAAATAATTAAAAATATAGATTTGATTGTATAACATTTTATAATTATTATTGCTTTCTTAGTTTGTTTGTTGTTGTTGTTTTGTTTTTTGTTTTTTTTTTAAAAAAAAAAAAAACCAGTGCAACTAAAACCAAAACTACGCACTTCACCAGCTAACAAGTTTAGGTCACTTAAATTGAAACTAAGACTTTAGTTGTCACAAAAATCTATTAACCAATGAAGATGATTGAGAGTGATTTGGTGCTTTCTTTTTCCCCTATAATCACTTTAAGAGTTTCAGAATTAGAAGATGATATAAAAAGCAAGCATCTTTTTTAATTTTTTTTTTTCATTACACAATTTATTTTGTTATTCAATAACAAAAACACCACTAATTAAAAAAAACTTTCTAGTCGTTATAATTGCGGTTTTTTAAAAATTTTTAAAAAAACAATTAAATTTAATGAACTTCCGCATAAATTTATTGCTTTGACATTTTGATGACAATCAAAAACAGCTTAAGAGACGAGGTAATTAAAATTGTAGTCGTAAGAGACTTTTTTTACATTAAAATGCTCTTAAAGCTACACTTTATGGGTATATATATATATATATATATATATATATATATATATATATATATATATATATATATATATATATATATATATACATATTACGTCTGCGTCTAAATTTTATATATTGACTTTAGATGGCGCGCCGTTGCCGTCCCGATGCTTATGTGTTATATGGGATATAATCGTTTCTGCTTTTAAAAACAGGAATAGCTTATGCTAAATAAGCAGAAAATATACTGTGATATAAAGATGCAGAGGAGATTGTTTAAAAACATCTTAGAAACCTTTCACAACCCTCGCATCAATCCCCGGGCTTGTCAAAAGTCCCTGGGCTTTGCTTGATTGCAGGGTGTTATAGGCGTTTTGTTGAAAGACCTTAAAGTAATTTCTGATAGAAGTTATCTTAAGGTATTTCATTCGAAAAAAAATTTTCTACATATTACTAAAAACTTTTTTCTCCAGGATTTACTAAGCAGTTAGTTTTTTTTCACATTTTTTTTTAAAGTAGTTGTCAAATCATATTAAAAAAATAAATTAACCATGTACAAATTATCATATTTTTAATATGTTTTTTCATTTTTATAAGTTTTTTAGGATTTTTTTTAAAAATTTTTTCGTTTTAATTTAAAGACTTGAAAAGCTAAGTAAGTTTTTTGATCTTAGTTTTCTTTTCAATATTTGACAACTTTTAGAATGAGTTTAATACACGTAATTATTGTGTGTTAAAAACACGAGAGATCATTAGCCCTATTTGTATATTTGCAATTTGCAATCTGATTACAGTTTTCTTTTAATAAGTTGCTTCAAAACGTTGTTATATTTTTCCTATTTATTTGTCTTTTAGTTAAAGTTATTGTTTCTTTTTCTTTTTTATTAATAAAATTGTTAGCAAAAAAAAAATTGTAAAGTAGTAAACTATGTCAGATCTTATAATTCTTAATTCAATGTTGTACTTTAAAGGGTTGTTTGTAAAGATGTTTTTAAAAAGGGTTGCGGTGTGTCAACTTACATAAGTCGCCTAAAAGTTCTACTGAAGGAGTTTTTTAAAAAAACTTTTGGTAATAATATTATTAATATATTTAAACTCCACAGATTCAGATTAAAATCTCCTAATTTTATAGTCGCTTGTGTTTAGTTAATTTTGAATAATGATTTCGATGCTTTTTAAAAAATTGTAAACTACTATTAAATTGTCTTCTAGTTGTACTTTATAGAACTGTTTGTAAAAAAAATTTCAATAAGGGTTGCGGCTTGTAGATTTACACGGATCAACAGAAAGTTGCACTGTAGGAGATTATTCAAAAAGTAAAAAAAAATAATTACATTTGATTCATCTTGGTTTATTAATTCAACCGTAAAAGGTTTGCAGTGTGCGTTCAATGTAATCAGGTCTTCTAGCTTTTTAAATTGAAGAGTGTTATGTATAAAGAAACATAAACCTCCACCGTTTCCTCTACTCCGAGTTTGATACCTTGCATCCTTCGTATTTAAAAATTTGAACTTAAGATATCATCGTCTCTACACTTTGTTTTTAAATGACATATTACTTAAACTTGTTTTTTATGTAGTGTAGAATTACTTTAAGGTTTTCACAATTTTAACTCAAGCTGTTTATATTTTAGGTCAACTCTGAGAAAGAAGATCATGGTGTTTTTATAAAACAAGATGCATTCTTAATACAATAATATTTAGAGTTAAATCTTTTATTTTTCGACACTGTTTTTTCTGGGTCATTACTGTACTGTCAATAGTAGAAGAGAGTATCAAAACTTTCAAAATGATGTTTCAATTAATTTATCTTTTGAGAATTAACTACCAATATTTAAAATCCGAAACTTTTTATAATTTCTTTACTCACTACAATATTTACTTTAAGTAAAATTAAACATTGATGAATATCATATAAAGAAGGCAATTAAGTAGTTTTGTATAAATTTACACTTTAGTATCAATAGTATAAATTTACACTTTAGTGTCAAAAGATTGTGAATTCTTCTTAACATTGTAGTAATAATGCTGAATTGTATTTTTTTATGTTGCACAATAATTGCAAAAAGTGACCAACGCAGCTGTTCAGTTACGTAGACGTTGGAGATGTGATAATAAAAACAGTTAACAGATGGTGTCGTTGAATAAAAAATAAAAACTTTAAGAAAGTATAAAACGAGAGGTGAAACTTTTGTAAAGGTGAAGAACGAAGTTAAATGCTTAAGGGGCAGGGGGAGGAATAACTAACACTCGAGTAACTCTGCGTGTAAATCATATGCAACAAAGAACAAGTATTTGATATATTATTATTAGAGACTGTTGATGTCTACAGGTGTTGTGGTGAAATGCATTCGCATGTGCCGTTTGGTTGTTTGATATGGTCTCGTTATGTTTTCGTTCACTTTCAAATCGGTTGAACAGAAAGCTAAACACACTCTCTTCTGGCGCTTATGGGCTAACACATCAAAGCCAGGATGAATTTGATAGAATCCACACATTATTCACCGTTGGCCAGAAGCCATAACTCTTAGTCAAAAAAGCTATGACCCCGTGATGGTGTGGCATGATGTGCTCTGTAGTGAGATTTTAGATCCGAGAACATAGCCAGGGTGCGCTGAACCGACCTGCATTCTGGAGCTTCAGAATAAACGTGTGTGTAAGTGTCAGCTTAGTCATTAGGTTTTTGAGCATCGTAATGACATCCAGCGGGATAGCCGTCTATTTTGCCGTTGTGGTGCACAACGGATAAAGTAGGGGCTCACTAGTCACAAAGAATATATCTTAAATATTTATGCGACACAATGATCGCAAAAAGTGATCAACGGAGTCGTCCACTTACATCGACCTGGGAGGTAATAGAACCAGATTGTAGATGATGTCATTGGGTAAGAATCAAAAATAAATGTAAAGACTATTTTCTAAGAGGAATAAATTTTTAAAACTCAGAGAGAGGGTGAACAACAACTCACGCTTTAGTTATCCTAAGCAAACGATAAAATAATGGTCTATGAGTCAACAAGTCTGTATAAATGCCTCGGTGTATTATTGGCTATCATGACTAAAACTATCATACAATACAAAATAATACAAAAAAGTAAGTTGGTAAAAAAGTGGTGAAAGATAATAGTTTGAGCAATATTGAAAAATAAAAAAATATATACGCATTCTACATGGTTCAAACTATGAATCTTCAAATTATGACGAAGCACTCTAACCACTGTGCTGTATGCCAATATATAAATATACAAAAAGTTTTAATAAATGTGGTATTATTTATGTAATAAATAGCAAAAATTGTAATCTGACAACTAAAAGTGTATTAACAAATTATTAAAATATTGTTAATCAAATAATTATATAATATAAAAGAACCAAAGCACTAAAATACGCAATTACGAGAGGTATAAAAACGTTAAAACCACGATAAGTAATTAGAACTAAATAGTGGATTAATGGTGATCCCCCTCCTTAGGAATGCACTGCGATCGTCTATAACTTATTGGAGATCTTAAGACTTGCACTAACGCCTTTCCTGAGGAGAGTGTTCTTGTGAAAGATCTCATCGCCAGCACTCTACATCATGCTAGTTAGTATTGCAATATAACTGGATTTCACTACAATGACCAAAAACACTTAAAAAAAACCTCATCCCTAATAAGCATAGCTCCAACAATTTAAGAGATCTGCTACGGATGGTGAGGGATACGCACATTGTAGCTGTTTTATGAGAACAAATGCACGCATATACTACATAAAAATATACACATATTCCTATATACATCCCTACATACATACACGCATATATATATATATATATCCCAACATACATACATACATATATACATACATACATACATACATACATACATACATACATACATACATACATACATACATACATACATACATACATACATACATACATACATACATACATACATACATACATACATACATACATACATACATACATACATACATACATACATACATACATACATACATACATACATACATACATACATACATACATACATACATACATACATACATACATACATACATACATACATACATACATACATACATACATACATACATACATACATACATACATACATACATACATACATACATACATACATACATACATACATACATACATACATACATACATACATACACCCATACAAACATCCGCACCTTTAGTGAGACCTCATTTGGCGTCCGGCAACCGGGACATTCCTAAACTCGAGTTTTTTTTTTATGTTTACATTTTTG